ATGATGCTCATTTAAGATTCACACGTTAAAGGTATATCATATGATGCTCATTTAAGATTCACGTGCAATGATTTACCATATAACTGCATGCTCATTTAAGATGCACATTGAGGTTTATCTCATTTAGGATCAATGCTAATTTAATATGGTTGACTGGCCCGCTCAAATAAAGGGACAAAAAGTAGCCCCACATCGAAAATATTGGACATGTTATGCTAGTAGAAAATGAAGGCTACCAGATTACTCAGTGTAAGCTTATTGTGTGGAAGAGCCAGTATTGATGGAGCCGCACACGTGATTACATGCATTTTTTTAATAAGAACCAGTGATGTGTCCGAATCATGACATCATAAGAGTCATGACATCATCAAGCTGGTTCCTTATAGCAAATCATCCAAATCCCGTTTTATTAACGGATCCAGAATAGTGTCACTGATACTCGATCCGGATCGGGTCGGTGATTTTTTAAACACTGTTTAGTATAGTGATTTGTCAAATGAGTGTAAGGTTAAACTTGTCACAACCAAGCTCCGTCGATGATGTGGCTTGGTGGGAGCAAATTGAACAAGCCCAAGTTCATAGTGGAAAGGCAAAAATTATTGATTGGCGAAAGATGAAAAAGAAATTGAGAGAAGATTTTCTTCATTTGGATCACGAGCAAATTTTCTTTCAAGATCTCCAAAATCTACAGATTGAAAAGAAAGTGGAGGATTATACTAGAGAATTTTGTAGACTAGTAGCTCGAAAGAACCTCCAAGAGACTAAAGGACAAAAGGTTGCTTGATATGTAAATGCGCTTCAACCTACCATTAGAGATGTCTTTCCACATCGGCCATAGACCTTAAGTGAAGCTCTTCAAATTTCTCTACGTGTAGAGACCAAATTCCAATAGAGCTCTAATAAGCCCTTTCTCACCCAAAAGGAGGTTTCGCACCAACGGATATTTAATGGAAATAAAGGGATACCTCGAAGATTACTTGCTTTCGGTACACTGAAATTGGACACCATGCATATAAATGCCCAAAAAAGAAGACGGAGGTACATTTGGCAAAGAAGTGGATAACGTTCAAGAAGAAGATCAAGTTCCAAAAATAATCCTACACGGTGATGAACGGGATACTCTTTGAATCCATTTTGAATTTTCAAGCTCGAGGTTGAGCTTCTCCCACCCAGGAGAATGATGCAAATAAAATTAGGAAATTTAAAAAATATATAGTTTTATTATTATTTGAGATGGGTTACTTAAAAGGATTGTGGGATTTGCTAAAGAGATCTTCGAGAGTTTCTTTTTTTTAGGAAAGATAAATCTTTTGTTTGGTGTGAGTTGCTGTTTTAAGGAGGCTTATTTTTTGTACTAACATGGGTACAAGGGTTTATTTTTTTTACTGAGGGGATAAAACATGGAATAGATAATAGTAGTTATATTTTTATAGCTATCTTTTACTTAGGACTTATCTTTTGGAAAGGCTAACAAAAAAATGTGAGGAATCAATTGTAAGGAGGGTTTTTATCTTTTACATAATGGTCAGAGAGAGATAATAACATGAAAGGTGGAGATAAAAAACAACCTGGGAGAGAGTCTTTGGTGGGGTTTTTTTTTTTAATTTATTTTTAGATTGTATTCAAAGGGAAGAAGTCCCTTTTGAAGAAACAAATTATTGCAGAACAAAGAAGAGTTAGATCTTGTGAAAATATCTTTAGGTGGACTCCCTTGCGGACACAAAGACAGGGTATAATTCTCTCATCCCTTATTTTATCTTTTATTTTTTCTGAATTATTTTTTTTCACTCATCAGTGTCTAACAGTAACCTATTGGTTAAAAGGTTCAAGTACTTGGCACACACAAACTCATCTCATTAAACTAGCTTGATAGAGCCACAGCAACCAAATGACAATGTAAAATGTGCCTTCCAATACCTTCCATATCCACCAAACCCCCACCTGAAATAATGCAACACAATAGAAGGGAAAACTCTATTCAGGCCAAACAACTTCTCAGATAAATGTAACAAAGCATGGGTAGTTCAGCTGCAAGACTTGAACTTGAGAACTACTGTCTTGATTAACGACACCTTAGCAAATCAAGCCAAAGCACAAATCCTTTTCCAAAAAATAGCACTAATAGCCAAATTTTGAGGTCCAAAATGGTGTCCTAAGTATAAAAAAGGGATCAGGTCTGGAGCAAAAGTTGGAAATCACATGGAAAAAAAACATTTCGAGTCCAGCAATTATAATGATGATGATTACAAACACTCGTTTAAATAATATAGATGGCCGCGAGCCAAATACTGAAAAGCAGTTGATGGAAGTTACAAAAATACAGGCAACAAAGGAAAAAACCCGCAACATTTAGTAAGATCCCATAAATTTTGTGAAGTCCATTTAACTTCAAAAACGATTCACAAAAAGCAGAAAACTTGGTAAGTAACTAGAAGCAAATAGCACACTAAAGAAATTCTACAGATGCAAATTCATGGCTACAGTTCCCACAAAAGCACATAAATTACAAGCAATAAACATGATATCTTAAGAGAGGTAAAGTGAAGGTTAGGGTGACATACGTGTAAAGAAAACCATTCGAATCTGCTGCAACTGGATACATGTGACAAAATCCACCACAGTCGGGCATCAATGGCAAACTCATGTGAGAGTCCATATTCAGGATTTCTAATCAAATAATTAGAAAGCATGGGAAAGAGACGAGATCCAAATAAGAAAAATGTAATCATGCTGAAAAGAACAGCTTCAAAATCAACTTAACCTGTGTGGTTTGTTCCACAAGCAACTTTAACAACAGTTTTCTCAGCAAGTGAAGCAATTGCACGTGGACGAGGTTGGGCCTCATAAGCTAGCCTAACAGAACTATCTTTGGCATTGTACTGCAAGTCCATGGAATATCTACTTCAAGGATTCCAAAAAAACATCCAGTAACGGGGACTGCAATACCAGAAATCTAAAAATATGTGCTGATCATGCATACCTCATGGTCAGTTCCATGCCCAAGTTGACCGTATATTGGGAGACCAGCAGTTCTATAAACCGCAAAACAACTCATCTCAGATTAGCTCAAGTCAATAACCAATCAATAGAAGTATCATAATGACTGGACATTTTAGCATTTTAAACCAAAGAAACAAGAATAAGAGAATGATAAATCTGAAAACATACAATATTGATGATCCTTTGAATGAAGATAGCCAAACAGTAAAATCACCCC